GGTGACACAGCCCTCAAGAGGCTGACCCGGCCTGCCCGGTTCCCTCCATCTGCACGCCAGGAGCACATGTGATCTCCTTCAGGTAGGAGTGATCTGCCTAGACCCCTCCTCCCCTCCTGGAGTCAATGCCAAATACCTGACAAAGACTCAAACGAACAGTTTCCAGGTCCGAATTCCCCCTTGTCAGGTTCTTCCTTCTCTATCTTACTTTCTGTTCTGAGCTATGCCTGGGTCAGGGTGGGTGGGACAAATCAGGGGAGTCTGATACAGGGGTAGAGGCTGCTTGCATTTTAGAGCCTTTACAGATTATAGCCTCCGTCTCAAATGCGTTACCTGAATTCATCCTTACAACTTCGTGAGGTAAGACTGCTTTTCTTGCCACTGAACAGATTTGGAAACTGAGGCTCAGTGATGATTTGCTGGAGGTGACCCCACAGGGGAGCATGCTCTAGAGAATGGTCCCACACAGCCACTGAGGGTGCCCTGGACACACACACCGAAGCTCCAGGGTTATCTGTATGTGCTAGGCACAGAGGGGCCCCCCAGTCAGTACTCACAGGTCGTCCAACGTTCCCCCCTGCTTCCGGCCCATGGGGCTCCTCTGTAAGTCCACGATGTCCGTCTGCAGAGCCATCATCCGTTCTACCAGGAGTTTCACTTCGTTCTCCTAATGGAAAAGCTGTGCTAATGTCAACTGATGTGGTAGGAGCATGCTGAGATGCAAGATCTGAGGAGGAGCGAGACCCGGGGACCCTCCACATTGCCTGAGGACTCTCAATGGACTGGCTCAAAGGAATGTGGACTGTGGGGTCAGAATGGCTGCGCTTGCATCTAGGGTCCACCACTTTCTAGCTATGTGACCCCTTGGCAAGTTACTTACCCCCAGCTGCAGTTTCCTTTTGCATAAAATAGGCTTCTAACAGGGCTATTTGAGGAGTGAAGTAAGATGAAGTACTTAAAGCCTCTGGCATGGTGCCTGGCACACAGAAGATGCCCAAGGCACATTACTTTCTCTTCTCTTCATCTGTCTATGCCGATGCTACTGGGCAGGGAGGCCCAGACTGCTTTATTTCATAGATTATGAGTCTCAAGATGGGGAGGAGCACTCACCCCTTCCATGGTTAATATTCACCATGAAACACACATACACCCCATCAGTACTGATTGATAAAAAGCGATACTGAGACACAGGGGAAGATCCTTGCCCAAGCACACAGGGGAAAACAGAGGATTCGTCCAGGAAAAAGCCCCAGAGCCTGACTTCAATCTTCAGTTCGTGTGACGTTCATTTAGTCACACGTATTTCCTTTGCCTTCATAATTAACGTTTTTTGGTGACACCTGATTCACGTTGTCCTGAGACTTTCTGCCTGGACCTTTTATTTCCTATGGATTTAGCGTCCCAACAAAATTAGTCAAAAACCTTCAACAAGAGGGGGTGTTGATCATCCATCCAATGCCCTTCCTAACAGGAAATGGTCTCGGCTTTTCCCCAAGGGAACCTAACACTTGTTTCTTATTTAAATCTGGACCATCGCCATCCATTCACGCAACTCTTGCATTTGGCCACAGAGGGGCTCCCTTTACTGGCTACTCTTAGCCTCTTTCCAGCTGGTCCAGTCAAGTTCAAAGCATGGTGAGGAACACCTGATTTTTGACAGAGATCGACCCAGTGTTTGATGAGAAAGTGAAAAGTAGGAGCAAAACCTCACCCCCTCGGTAAGTTCAGAAACCCCAAATGAGTCTCCTACCCGCCCACAGAGCTCCACGGCCTGCTCCATTTCCCTCCAGGCCAGCAGCAGTTTATCTGATGCTGAAAAAAAAAATTGAGAAGGAAAAACAAAACAAAACAAAATAAAAACACCACAAAACTGAAACAGAAATAAGCAACTCAATTATAATAGGACAAAAGAAACCTTAGAAAAAGAAAAAAAAAATGGTGTCTTTAAACTCATTGCAAAGTGCACACTCACTGATCCCAAACTCAGTTTGCTCGCTGTACTTCTCCAGGTCAATCTGGATGCTGGTTTTGAAGAAATCCAACTTGGCCTTGAGCTGCTGAGACATGGAAGCCATGGAATTCTTCATCTTGGAGAGGCAGCTGTTGTTCCGGAGGAGATTCATCCTGCAGGGACCACAAGGAACAGAGTCTAGGAGCATCTCTGGGATCCAAATTCCATTTCCTGCACAATAACAAAACCCCCTCAAATGTCAAGGGAGGTCCCTGCTATAATTATCATCATCATCACTATTATTATAGCAGCCACTTATAACCCAAGGACAATTTCCTCGCCCTCAGCAATGCCTGAGGTTCTGCACCAAACTTGACATCAGGCAAAGGAAGACACAAAAGGCCAATAATGTTGGCAAACGAGTCACACTGGGGAAAGAGTCCATAAGTCCCCAGCAGCACAGTCAGGGGAGTTTTGCTAATCCACATGGCAGTGAGCTCCTCTGGGTTCCCAATCCGTCCACAGCGCGGCCAGCCCAGCCTCAGTTCCATACTCCTCGCCCTGGGCCGACCACACTCACCTCATCAGGTCTAAAGGGGCCTGCCTCAGTCCAGCCCACCCAACTGCTTCCCGTCTGTCCAAACCAGTGTCTCCCTTTTGTTGCTCATTAACAGTCGCTTCTGGGTCCCTGCCTCAGCCACCTCCCTGTGGCCAAAGCCACCAAGCAATTTTAAATAAATTAAGTTTAAAAAAAAAAGCCTGGCACACTACATGGCGGCTCGCTGTCCCTGCTGCAGCCGGTTGCAATCCTCCTTTAGGGTCTGGATGCTGTGCCAGACCTGGCCCCACACCTTCCTCAGCTGAAAGAAGGCGAGGTTCCTCTTGGGCTCTTGAACTGGAGACAAAGACAGAGGCAATTGTCAAAAAATAACCACAATAACTCTCCTACAATTAACCACATCCTGCCTTCAACACTGCTGGCACTTTCACGTTTTATACCTACTATAGGATCATGTAACTTTGGAGGGTGTTATGCCTGGTTACTGTCACATACATGTATTTGTACCAACAGCATGTACCAGTGGTCAATAAGTAGCTGTTGATTTGAAGAAACACTTTATGAACCATTTGGACACATATGTATATAGGGTCATATATTTTCAATAGAATTTTTTTTTTTTTTAAAGAGACAAGGTCTCACTCTTGTCACCCAGGCTGGCATACAGTGGGAGTGATCATGACTCACTGCAGCCTTGAATTCTCAGGCTCAAGTGATCCTTCTGCCTCAGCCTCCTGAATAGCTGGACTACAGGCATGCACCACAACATCTGGCTAATTTCTAAATTTTTTGTAAAGGTGAGATCTTACTATATTACCCAGGCTGGTCTTGAACTCCTGGGCTCAAGCGATCCTCCTGCCTCAGCCTCCCAAAGTCCTGGGATTACAGGCGTGAGCCACCATGCCCAGCCTAGGAGGTTGAAATTCACTAATGGTTTCCTGTACTGTCTCTTGCCTGGCTACTCTTTGCATGTCCTAAATAAGGAAGGCTGCCCTGAGGACTGGCGATACTAATTTCCTTCATGTGGCTCCCCCTTCCTTAGTCCAGTCTCCCTCCCCTGCCTTGTCCCACATATTATAACTGATTATTTAGAAAAACAAAACAAAACAAATTCTTACGGATACAGCTGACACTTTCAGGTTGGGGCCGTGGGGAGATCTGAGTCTCATAGGTGATTTTACTGTTGTCAAAGAGAAAAACAAGATCCATGTCCAATGTGCGGCCCTCATTTAACTGCAAAGGGACAAGAACAAAATGAATCTTGTGGATCCAATCCTCTCTTTTCTAACTAATAATGAAGAGGTTCCAGAGCTTTCCCCACTGTTTGGCAAGAGCATCATCTTCAGCCAGCAAGTACGAAGCATACATGAAGTCTTTCTCCCAACGTTTCCAGCCTACACTTACTGTTGGAACACACTCCTTATTTACAAACTTATTACATTCTATTTTACTGTCATCCCTGTGAAGTTCAGAAATTCACTATATACTTCCCTATGCAATGATTATTTCTCATATGATAACTTTATCTCCACAAGTCAGGTGAGAAGCTCTTTTTGAGCAGAGGTCATGTCTTATACGGCTATAGTTAACACAGGTGCCTAACACAGAGGCCATCATAAATAGTTTCACAGTTCTGTACACAGAGGCCATCATAAATAGTTTCAGTTGACTCAAGACAGTGCAGCACCTTTTTTTTTTTTTTTTAAGTATACTTGGAAGAGGGCCAAGCTGGCAACTTGAGCGATTCAAGTGCTACCGCATCATTTTTTGCAATAAAGGCAAGAGAACGGTCTTGGAGGGTCTGGAAGTAACAAGTCCAGCTAGGAGATTTGTGTTTCCTATCAGGCCACACAAAGGACACCATACTCCAACTTAAACACCAGGCAGGTATCCACACTGTATGATAAACAGACTACATGACAAAGCAGAATTGAAATCTGAAGGTGTGTTGAGTTTCCCAAGAGGCACAGCCAAGGGAAACAGGGTGGTGTGTACGAAGCCAGGGCTTACCTTGCCATCTGAAATACACTGAGTGGCAGGTTTATCGGGGATCAACGCCAGGCCCGCTTCCTGCAGCAGCTCCTGGTCCTCCTCTGGGATGCCCGTGTCCTGCTGGATTCTGGCCTTCAAGCTCTGCAGACTCTCGTCCTCTGTCACAGGGTAAGTGTGGATGGTGCCTGTGACCATGTTCAAGATATGAACCAGCTGCAACACAACCCAGATGTTACTGGAAAACCAATTTCTTCAAGGAGATGCGCATCTATTTGCCTAGGTCCTCTCTCTGCTACTCTCAACATTTCCCAACCACACAAAGCAACGGCCTGGCTTGACGGAGGGAGGTCTGGTGCCATGTTTCGCATATTTTCGTCTTTCATAATCCTGTCTGTGGCTATGACCTCATAGCCAATGTCAAATAGCACAACTGTCCTTTCTTTACTTATGCAGAAAGACTGATGCAGGAGCCTAAACTTTCTCACTAGGTCAGCTGGCCCCATCCCCTGCTCTATCCTAAGAAGTGCGTGCTCCGCTGGGGACCCCAGCTTTTGCCTGAGGGCTAACTTGGCTCCATGCTCACCTTTAAGTTTAAGATGTCATCCAGGGCCTTGAAGCAGCCATTGGGCCCATACGTGGGATCTGTGCCCCTCTGTCGGGGATGCCACATCAGCATCAGTTGCAGCCACTTCTCCAGTCGCTCAGCCAGGACGCTGTGGAGAGGAGCAGAGTGTGTGAGGAGACACTTCCAGCCAATGTTGGGCTACAGTGTGTGTCTCCCAGTAGATGCACAGACGGCAGCCAACAGATGGTGATTGAAAATGAAAATGGGTTTATCAGAAACAGTATAGACATTTCCAATCAATTATTCAGGTGTTCACACCTCTCTCCTGAATTCTAAAATACCCTGAAATCAGAGATTCCTGACCTCCAAATAGCTGCATAAGAATGACCCATGAAGGCCAGGCACAGCGGCTCATGCCTGTAATCCCAGCACTTTGGGAGGCCAAGGCAGGTGGATCACTTGAGGTCAGGAGTTTGAGACCAGCCCGGCCAACATGGTGAAACCCCATCTCGACTAAAAATACAAAAATCAGCCGGGCATGGTGGTGCGCACCTGTAATCCCAGCTACTCAGGAGGCTGAGGCAGGAGAATCAGTTGAACCTGGGAGGCAAAGGTTGCAGTGAGCCGAGATTGTGCCACACTGCACCCTAGCCTGGGTGACAGAGGGAGACTGTCTCCAAAAAAAAAAAAAAAAAAAGAAAAAGAATGACCCATGAGGTTTTTAAAATACACTTTATAGGCACATCCTAGCTCAGGTGACCCCTACAGAATCTAGATCCCACGCTGCCAGATGTAGTGGTTCACATGACAAACTCCAAGCTCCTTCCCCTGGCCCTGCAGAGCCTGCCTCCTGTGAGCACTCAAACCCTTTCCTGAGGCCAAGACAGCTACCCACCACCTCCCAAACGTGCCTTGCTCACTTTAATCTTTCCCCTTAGAATTTCCTTCCTCCTTCCTCTTCATCTGTCCATGTCCTGCACATCTGTCTAGACCCTTCCAAAAAGTTCTAGCTTATCCCACGTCATTCCTTATAGCACTAGTCCATCCAATCTTCTCTTCCACCCTTTAAATATGGTAATCATTATCCATGCCACTCAATTATGTGTGACTGCCTCGTAGCTTTCTTTTGCACTGTTACCCAATTCTGTACAATTACACAATACTATTAATTGTTTAGATTCTGGCTCTGAGACTGGATTGTAATGCCATTCAAATGACAAAGATTTATTTGTTGATTGTGACACAGAATTGGGCCACATGAGGGGTGGAAAGAGAAATAAGGTATAATTCCCTGCCCTTAAAAGGACTGCTGTTGAATCAGAGACAAACCCTATGCAAAACCAAATGTGATACAAGGTAGAGGCTATTAAGGGTAATAAGAGGCAGAGATACATTGTTATGTGAACTTAGAATAAGAGATGATTTCTAGGGAGATGAGGGAAGGAAACCCATTCTAGATTTAAGATTAAGAAGGACTATGTCAATTTCTTACTCACAGGACGATATTCTGATAACCTGTTTAAAAGTTATCAGATGTCACTTCAGACTTGAATTTCTTTTTTTTTTTTTTGAGATGGAGTCTCACTCTGTCACCCAGGCTGGAGTGCAATGGCGCAATCTCAGCTCACTGCAACCTTTGCCTCCCGGGTTCAAGCGATTCTCCTGTCTCAGCCTCCTGAGTGGCTGGGATTACAGGCGTGTGCCACCACTCCTAATTTTCGCATTTTTAGTAGAGATGGGGTTTCACCATGTTGGCCAGGCTGGTTTTGAACTCCTGACCTCAGGTGATCCACCCACCTCGGCCTCCCAAAGTGTTAGGATTACAAGCGTGAGCCACCACGCCCAGTCCAGACTTGTATTTCTAAAAAAGGGAAGAAAAATATGTATTCGTGTAATGCTTCTGTGCCTTACCTGTTAAGATTATTGGGGTAGGGTAAAGAGCTTGAAAACTTCACTGTTCCATTCAAGTCTTCGCTGACAACAATATCCACCTCACTCTTCTGCCGGACTTTCGAATGCCTGCAAATATGAATCTTGTTAGGTGCAGTCACACGTTGCTATGACAGGGACACATTCTAAGAAATTCATCATTAGGTGATTTAGTCCTTGTGTGAACCGAACACAAACCTAGATGGTTTAGCCTACTACACACCTAGGCTATACAGTACATCCTATTGCCCTAGGCTACAAACCTGTACAGCATGCTCCGGTACTGAATACTGTAGGCCAGGGTAACACAATGATAAATATTCGTGTATCTAAACATATCTGAACCCAGAAAAGGTACAGCAAAAATACAGTATTATAATCTCATGAGACCACTGTCATCTATGCAGTCAACTGTTGACTGGGATGTCAATGAAATATACAGTTATACACATCCCTATGACACTTAGCACTCAAGAGCCACTTTACATTTATAATATCAGTTTACAACTATACAGGAGATTTATAGCCCCAATCTTTTCATTCACATTGAGTCAGGCGGATTCTTTGAGAGTTTAAGACTGGTCAGGACTGCCTGAATGAGTTTTTGAAAAGCAACCTTTAGCAGAGTCACTGACCATCTTGTGCCCAGAGTTCTGCAGACAGTACTACTACCTCCTTATCTCATCCTTGGTTTTTCCTTCTCATTTGCTCTATCTTCTGTTTCATCTACTACACACTCTTGTATTTTGACAGAGGTTAAAACTGGGACTTCCAAACCTAGATTACAGTATGCATACAACAGTTACATAAAATATGCAAAACCTACGCACACACATAGATACTTCCCTCTAAAGGTACACAGCTAAATACTGTTTCTAAGGATAAATGAACTTATACATTTCCCAACTTAGGGAACTTCTTGGGGTATCTGAAGTAGTATTTGAAGGTAAAAATAATTTTTTTTTTTTTCTGTCACCCAGGCTGGAATGCAGTGGCACAATCACAGCTTACTGCAGCCTCAACCTTGTAGGCTCAAGCAATCATCCCTCCTCAGCCTCCTAAATAGCTGGGACTACAGGTGTGCACCACCACACCCAGTTAATTTCTGTATTTTTTGTAGAGATGGGGTTTCGCCATGTTGCCTAGGCTAGTCTGAAACTCCTGGACTCAAGCAATCCACCCACTTTGGCCTCCCAGAGTGTTAGGATTATAGGGGTAAGCCACAGTGCCTGGCCAATAAAAATAATCTACATGCAACTGGCTTCAAATCTTGGTAACAACAAGAATAGTTTGAATAATACTTCATAGATAACCAAGTATTCTGACACAGATCATTTATTCACTTAAGGCCATGACAGGCCCATGTGGCAGACATTATTTTTAGTCCCCCAATTTGGACCAAAGGAAATGATGATCAAATGATTTGTCCAAGGTCACGCAACGGAGTAGCAGAATCAGGGGCTCAAACCCAATGTCTGGGGTTCTTTCTATTCTGTCTGAATGTCCAACTATTCTCAAAACATCTGGGAAATTCAAATAAAAAATGCTTTGCTCCAAACAATTTTCACTGGCAAGTGGTGAACCAGCCTATCAGGAGCACACTGGAAAGCTAGAAGAGCCGGAGCATGGCAGAGGCTGGTGCTTTACCGCTTGGGCTGAAACTGACAGCTGTAAGTCGGGGGCTCCAAGACTTTCTAATTATCTAAGTGTGGAATAAGCCTCTCATAGAAAACTTAAGTTGTTGATGGGAAATTTAAAAAGGACCCAAAATAAGATGCTTATTGCTTGGGCTTGTCCTAAAATGTATTTCAAAGTGGCTTTATAATAGAATTGTAAAGCCCAAATTGCATTTGTCTGGAAATCACTATTTACCTGCCATCTGAGACAAGATAGTGACATTTTTTAAAAGTTGCCCAAAGCATTAAAAACTAGATTAGTCCACAAAACAGCTCCTTATTGGGTTTCAGAAAAATCTACTTGAAACTGGCCACCTGGCCCTCCAGCACTGATAAGGGAAGCTCTAGGAAGATGGCTCTGCAGACAACAGATTTCCTACGAGGATGCTGGGCCGTTAGGAATGTATTTTCAAAAAGCACCTGCTCTTCTAGTTCTAATGGATTTTAACTCATCTTGTCATAAATAAGAGAAATGCTCAACAAGTGATCAGAAGAAATGCAATAATTCCTTTAGTTAAAACCACTATAGATGTGCAGTGAGCCCAGATCATGCCACTACACTCCAGCCTGGGCAACAGAGTGAGATTTTGTCTCAAAAACAAAAACAAAAACAAAAACACACTATAGATGTACATGTAATTTAAAACGATTTTTATAATGCGTACACTGTAAAGTGTGACTATAAATTAATGAACAAATTCCTCAATATTCCGAACCTATGTAGCTAAAGGAGCAATGCCTGTTTTAAAATAAGTCACCACAGTGGGGCAAACTTTGCCATTTCTCCAAACTCAGGGCAGGGACCTCCCTCACTGGGAGGTAAACGTGGAATTGAACAGACTGCCATCACCTAAGACCACTTTTCTGGAATTGATTTCAAAGGATATACTTTATTCTTTTTTTTCTTTCTTTCTTTTTTTTTTTTTTTTTTGGTAAGACCACGGAGTCTTGCTCTGTTGACCAGACTAGAGTGCAGCAGTGCGATCTTGGCTCACCACAACCCCCGCCTCCTGGGTTCTAGCAATTCTCCTGTTTCAGCCTCCCAAGTAGCTGGGATTATAGGCATGTGCCACCACGCCCAGCTAATTTTTGTATTTTTAGTAGAGATGGGGTTTCATCATGTTGGCCAGGCTGGTCTCAAACTTCTGACCTCAGGTGATCCACCTGCCTCAGCCTCCCAAACTGCTGGGATTACAGGTGTGAGCCACCATGCCCGGCCCACTTTATTCCTATAAATAAATATTCTCATGATGTACACACTTGTCCTCTGAAAACATTCATGTTTTGTTTTCATTACTTCCAGAAGGTGACAATAGCCAGCATTGGCAAGGATGTGGTGAAAGGGGCAGTGTCCACACTCCAGGTGGAGACGTGTATTTATATGACCTTCCTGGTGAGCAATTTGCTAACTAACATGTATCAAAAACCTTTACAACGTGCAAAGTCTTTAATCTGTTATTTCCCTTTCTAGGTATTATCCTAGGGAAACAACTGTGTGCAAGAATTTCCCTACAAGGATGTTATTCTTAGTGTTATTTTAAGAAATAAAAATTATCAACGTGCTTCCAACCACGGGGGATAAGTTAAATGAACCACAGCACAGCCATCCAATGAAATAACAGACATTACAAATAATACGGAAAAACATAAAGCATTTTCGACATCTAGTTTGAAAGGCAGGTTGTATGAGGATATTATAGTAACCTATTTTTGTTTGTTTAAAAAGTACAAAAATATAACACTGAAGAGCCTGGAGACACAAAACTGTTCATAGTGATTGTTTTCCAATTATGGGATGACAGTTGATTCCTGCTTTTTTACTGTTTCCATATTTTACAAAACACAAAATGAAGCAAAGTTAATCTGGCAAAAATTAAGGGGTAATTAAACTGTGCAGTACTATTTAAGTTCAAAAGAATAATTTTTTGTGTGGCAGATAAATTGACTCAAAAAGAAATTCTCATGGTGTGAAAAGCTTGAAAGCATGTGCAGGACCGTGTTCAGATAATGCTACCATTGGGGTAAAAAAGAGGGGAAATATCAGTGTCCAAATAAACAAACATATGTCAATTTACTGGAGCACGTAGCAAACATCCCTGGAAGATACGAAAACCCTGGAAGGTATGAAAACATCCTTGGAAGACAGCAGGTGCCTGTGGGGAGGGATATGAGTGCCTGGGAGGCTGGTATGACTTTTCACTGCATACTCCCTTATTCTGGAAATTTGAGCCACGTGAACTTACTATGGTTCCAAAAAAATTACAACTTGAAATAAGTAAATTTTGAGCAGCAGGAGCATCATTTAAACTAGTGTGTGGCCTCTCAAGGAAAAATCCTAAATGAAATCTAACTGATTTGGGGGAATATTCATTTTTAAATTATGCCTTTCAGTAATAATTAACTTTTTTCTCTTCTTTTCTGCCCCCCAGTTCTTTATTTAAACTGCAAATAAAAGCGGTCTATATTTATCATGTACAACATGATGTACACATTGTGGAATGACTATATTGAGCTAATTACCATATGCATTACCTCACATACCATTTTTGGTGGTAATAATTAACTTTTATATAAACATATCCTGAACAATGCATTATTTCTTTAATCAGTAAAACAAAAGCTAAAGAATACAGAGTAATTCTACAAATCTTCATTGTATCCTTTAATTTATTAGAAAAATTTTTGTGTAATTTATTAAGTTCACAATTTCAGCTACATTCTTATGCTTTATGCTCAGCCTTTTTTTTTTTTTTTTAATCTTTGTTTATTTTGAGACAGAGTCTCACTCTGTTGGCCAGGCTGGAGTGCAGTGGTGCGACCTCTGCCTCCTGGGTTTAAGCAATTCTCCCACCTCAGCCCAGCTGGGATTACAGGCACCAGCCACCACACCCGGCTAGGGTTTTTAGTAGAGATGAGGTTTCACCATGTTGGCCAGGCTGGTCTGGAACTCCTGGTCTCAAGTGATCCACCTGCTTCGGCCTCCCAAAGTGCCGGGATTACTGTACCCGGTCATGTTCTTACACTTTAAAACAAAAATTTATATTGAGGTTGTAGTAAAATTTGTCAACAATTTTCCACATATTTCCTCCTGACTTGTCATGCATACATGTGTTTTCTTTCTGTTTACTAACACACAGCATTCTCAGTGTAAGTGCACATATTCACACAATAGTCTTACTTCTGAACCCAGAGCAGATGACATTGACACAGCATTGTATTTAAAAGATGTGAAGGCTCAGAATCCACATGAAGACTTAACAGCTACTCTGTATCTATTAACAGGTCCTTGGAGCACAGACCGCCCCCCTACTCGTGCTAGATCCTGACAGGCCTTCCTCTCGGAAGAGACACAACACAGATCTCCCAGGCCCGGTGATGGGGCGCCAGGGAAACAGGATACGTGAAGAGAAAGGAGCAGACGGGCTCCCTCCTCCATCCAGGTGCCCCGGCCCCACTCACCACTGCACGGGCTGCCAGTTGGGGAGGAAGGGCCGGAAGCCCGTGATGCACTCGAAGGCCAGGGTGCCAAAGCTCCAGTAGTCGACGGTCACTGTGTACTTCTGCTGCTCCAGCAGCTCTGGGGCCTGCAGCGACACGAGGGGGCACACCTGAGCTGCTCCTCTCATGGGGGACCATGGCAGGAGGGGGCGGCCAGCCAACTGCTTTTACCCCAGGCTTTCCTGGCTCCATCCCAGGGGGCACTGGCACATGCTTGCAGGGCGAGGAGGGAACTCCAGGCATGTTTAGCGGGTATGTCATGCTACCATTTCTAAGACCTTTCTATGCCCCACTCACTCCAGTAAGTCCTGATTGAGGGGCTAAAGATTCAGGGCCAGAGTACATCACACACCCCTCACTGGGCTTTAACTTCTCCCCTTTAAAAATGAGAGTTGCAGGCCAGGCGCAGTGGCTCACACCTGTAATTCCAGCACTTTGGGAGGCGGAGCCAGGCAGATTACTTGAGGTCAGGAGTTTGAGATCAGCCTGGCCAACATGGTGAAACCCCATCTCTACTAAAAATACAAAAATTAGCTGGGCATGGTGGCATGCACCTTTAGTCCCAGCTACTCAGGAGGCTGAGGCACAAGAATTGCTTGAACCTGGGAAGTGGAGGTTCCAGTGAGCCGAGACCATGCCACTGCACTCCAGCCTGGGCAACAGAGTGAGCCCCCATCTCAAAAAAATACTAATAATAA